GGGTAATAGTGATTACAATGTAAAGCCCTTAGAAATGTTACTATTATTATTATCAATAGTGTTATTATTCTAAAAATTGTTATTATCATTATTAATATCATTATTGTAATGTTGTTCTTCATAAATTCAAGTGCCCTATTCATTTCAAGTCAGTTAGATTTACATCTTATCACAGTGGAATGCTGTGGTTTCTGTGTTTGTTTGGTTATGATATAATTTGATTCAATATTTCTCTAGGTTCCTGAAAAGCAGCCAGAGAACTCAACCCTCTATATTACTATGCAAAGAAATAAAAAAGGAGAGCAGATTTAATTGTGTCAAGCATTTTCAAACAGTTTTCCAACACACTCATACACTCATTTGTATAATGACAATAATGATATACCGGTATGTGGATTAAACTACAATGTAGTGCCTGACACAAAACATTGCCTCTATCTATTATTATTGAAAAGCTAAGATTTTGCTACTTTTTAGAAACCAAATACATTTTCATCTGAAATAACTGATGAGAAATTTATTTCCAGACCAGACTGACTGCTTGACCGCCCACTCGTTCATCAATATTCATTTAAATTGAATATAATCTAATATATTTCTAGTTATTTCATATGAAGAATATATGACTGAAAGTCTTTGTTAATGCCCAGTACTTCTTGAATTGATTCTTCAAGTGTTGTTCATATCTGCCCAAATATTGAAGGTAAAGACCAGTATTGGAAACGCCCCAATTTCAAATAATGAAATGGAAGATCTTATTACTAATCATGTGAAAGATTATGTTTTTGAATAATACATGATAACAATTTTGCCGGTCGAAACCGCCTTCTAATTGATATATTTGGTAAATTAGTTTATCTATTGGATTGTGAGAGATAAAAACGCACATGTGCGTAGTCCCATATACATCTTTCTGTGTACAATGCTTGTAACTTTATGAAGACTGAGCCAAATTTCTTATAATTTTGATGATTCCAGAACCTTGCAGTACATCTATGCTAGATGATCAACCTTTCTGACGGATTTCACGACGTTTCTTTCACAATGCAATCGCATGACCAGAACTGGTCTTTATCTTTAAAGTGTGGTATGTCTATGATTAAAGTAACAAGCAAATTTCTAGCATTTTACAAATTTATTAGTACTACCAGTCATGATCATCCATACTTATTAGGACCCATTTATTTGTAGAGAATTGTTGATATATATTATAATAATTATGTGTATTGCATTTATCAGTATGATGTGTTGATCCTTTTTATCAGAAATATTGGGTTTGGATTATTGTTGTAATTGGGTTTTAGGGTTAGGTTTAGGGTTAAATAAGTTTTGAGCAGGGTTGAAGTTAGGAATTTTGGTCAGTGTAGAAAATTGTTGATATGATGTGTAAGGTATATAATGTATATATATATATTTATATGAATAATTATCAAAACAATTGAGATAGAAATCATTGAGAGTCTTCATTATGACCGGTTTCGATTTCGAAAAAATTTAAATTTTGAAATTTTTGGGAAAATTGAAACAGGTCATATGAAATACTGAACCCTCAAGGAATTTCATTTCAATTGTTTTAAATTATTATTTGTATATTGCTGTGATGAAGGATTTTCGAAAGTGAATAATATATATATATATGTATGTAATATGTGCGATTTGACAAATGCAAACAACTTTGGCAACTCTCTTGGAAATTAATGCACATTATTTTAGAAATGAATACGACAGAATAATGATGACCTAGGTCAATCAAAATTCGCCATAGATGTGCAAACTGCAAAGGTAAAAACTGTCGGTCAATCGAATCTAGTCTGGCCAAATAAACTGGCCCATCCCTATGGTCTCGTGGATAAGGGGTTGGCGTTTTACTCCGGGCAAAGACACTTTTTTAATGGGAAGATAGCAATGGGAAACTTTGATAGAGCAACGAACCATTGTTATCTCATTTTCATTTATCACATTTTCATTTATCACAATTATGTATATATATATATATATATATATATATATATATATATATAATTTACATACACATATCTAAATAATAATAAAAATAATTGAAATAAAAATCCTTGAGAACTCACTTTTTCACTATGAGAGGTTCCAATTGCTATGTAGAACTTCGATAGAGCTACTCGCCATTATTCTCTCATTTTATGACGAAATAAAATTGGAACTCTGAAGGATCTTTATTTCAATTGATTTAATTAATATTTGTTTATTGCCGTGACGGAGGATCATCCGAATTCAGTTATGTGTTCTATTTATATAAACATGTACATGTATATCCATGTCAAATATGTATCTTCTTTATATTATTCAGTGACAATTTATTAAATGTATAAGTTTATGTTGGTGTTACATGAAGAGGAACTATAAAATAAATATATTGTAATCATATATTTGTTCTATAATTCTATTATATACTGTGAACTTAGAGTTCTGGACAATTCTATGGTGTGTACGTGGTAATTTCCTGTACTGGGTGTCACCAAACAAAACAAAAAAGTGAGGAGAATTAACAAGAGACTGAGGTTGAGTTCTTGGAAGAGGTGAAAATTAATTTGTGAGCGTTATCATTGTTATCATGCAAGGGTGGAAAAACATCAGATAAAACATGTTCCCTGAAAAGTATGGCTCTTCAAATGCCTTCATATTCTAAATATGGCCTGTAACATCGTAAAAATCGGGACAAAAAAAAATCGCCACGTGTTCGTGTAGTCCCATATACATCCTTCTGTGTACAGTGCTTGTAACTTTACCAAGACTTGGCCAAATTTCTTATCATTTTGATGATTCTCAAACCTTGCCATACACACACACATACTTATATGCCAGATGATCAACCTTTTCTGATCGATTCCACACCGTTTCTTTCACAATGCAATCGCATGACCAGAACTCAACTTTATCTTTAGGCTTGTTCAGATATGCCGCTGTACTGCAGACAACAACAAAAACCGTCAGATTTTGTTAAAACATGTAAATGAATGGCAATTGCACACCACTTTAAGGTCCTACGCTTATTCGCTTAACTCAATTATAAGGAAACTGAAGCATATTACACTTAATGCCATAATAAAAAGGGGCAGGCGGAAACGGTTTACCATTCTATATCTGCCTATTTGCAGGCAACATCAAATTCTGTAGAACTTTGCAGGAATTGTAAGTATGTCACATATGTCCTATCTGTGAAATTTAAACGTGAGCAGTGTCCTAATATTCAAATTATGCAAAGAAACCCGTTTACTTTCTAGACTTCACTTTCAGACACTGTCAGGTAATAACATACATAAAATGAGCTGTAAAGGATATATGAGCATTTGTCTGCATCAATAACAAACTTCTTGTAATGGACAGAATTAAACTGATTGAATCTTTCCTCAACTCAAGACGTACGACCATTCGGTACAATTAAGGGTCTGATAATCAGACTATTACTAAAAGGATTGCAATAACTAATATCGATTCGACAACTAATGGTCGTTATTTTCCCCCTCAAAGCCATCTTCAAGCCCTTTCGTTTTGAGTTAAGTTCTAAATTAGTATTATCTTTCAAATGCCGTTGGAATTTAACCTCTTCATTTTTGAGGCCTGCAAATGGGACATAGTACCTTTAAGACAAAGAACTTTTGAAGTTATTGTAAATTCAGATGTAATACCTCACTCACACCACGGAGACCGACACCAGGGGGGTGTTTCACAAAGATCCTAAGTAGAACTTATCTCTAAGTTGGACTTAAAAATTATGGAAAGCCATTAGCATCTTTGAAAATATTTTGTAAAAGTTATTTTGAAAGGCATTAATTGTTTATTCAAATCATTCATATTTTCTATCATCAAGGAGATTTCATGTTCTGGATGTGGAATTTATAACAAGTCTAAAATACTCGAATTTCTGCTTTTGAATATATTTCATTTTAAGACTCCAATGGCTGTCCATAATTTTTAAGTCCAACTTAGAGTTAAGTTCTACTTAGGATCTTTGTGAAACACCCCCAGGCCTGCAACAGACTGAACAACAACAAATTACAATACCCACGTTTCGTTTTTCTGTTTTTTCTCTTTTTATTTTCTTAAAGGCTGGAAAGCAGAAAAATACGAGATACAGGTCGGTGAATGTCTGAATAAGATCTGATGTTCATGAATGAAAGTGACGAATTCTTTAAAGCTGTAATATGAATTTTAAATTAACAAATTGGCACACTGATGAATCGTACAATTACATTAAACAAATCTGTGTGTCTGTAAAGAAGCACTGTTAAGAGTTGTTTTTTCTTCAAAGCTCAGTGGATTATAACTTTATAGTAGCTGCGCTAAAAAATTGATATAATTATTATTATTATCATACAAAATGCCTACAATATCATTTTCATTTTTTTCAAAATGGATGACGTGGATGGCCTTTGAACAACATGCTATTCAAATCATAATTAGTTTCGGTACAACCCGAAGGACTTTCATAAGAATTTCCTCACAACTCGCCAATCACGTTTATTTCAATGAATATTTAAATCGAATGTTGTAATTCTGTATTGCACCGTTCATGCAGGAAGAAGAGCGATTTAATTATATTAGTGGCATAGCAGAGTGAAATTTATACTCAATATATTTTGTGTATGCATTGGCAATTGCTTGTTATTTTCATTTTCATTCCTTAATGATATCACATTTTATTATTTTCAAAGAATATGAAAGAATGGAAAATACAAGTACTCGGTGCCAATTTGAGAAAGAAAAGCCGATATTCATTTAAGACCGTTAGAAACCTCTGGAGGGTGTTTCACAAAGATCCTAGTAAGTCGAACTAAACTCTAAGTTGGACTTAAAAGTTATGGAGAGCCATTTGTAGCCTCAAAATAAGATATATTCAAATGCGAAAAATCAAGTATTTTAGACTTTTTATAAATTCCATACCAAGAACATGAAATCTTCTTGAAAATAGAAAATATGAATGATTGAATCAACTATGCCCTTTAAAATAACTTTTACAAAATATTTTCAAAGATGCTAACGGCTTTCCATAAATGTTAAGTCCAACTTAGAGATAACTTCAACAAAGGTTTTTGTGAAAGACCCCCCACTGGACAGCTTGTTAAATGCACAGTGTTTCAAAAGCTTCGATCAGCGCGCACAGGCGATCGCAGTTGATGCGGCAGGCGTCGACCCCGCAAATGAAGCGCCGCTTCTTCGGGTACCAATACCAGGAACTGTAGGAGTACTGGAAAGCCGGAGTGGTGGAGCGGATCTCGAGGTATCCCACCGGGTTGGAAGAGTCCGTCAGCCCGGTCGTACCGGTCCAGATGTTCGAGTAGTCCTGGTTGTCAGAGGTGATGAAGTCGCCGTTGGATACTTTGCAAACTCCCAGCCAAGCGCTCGAACCATCGTTGGCACTGATAATGATAATGATGATAATAATAATAATGATGATAATAATGATAATAATAATTATACTCCTACTACTACTACTAATAATAATAATAATTGATGCTGAAATTTATTACAAAAGCTGGTGACCCTGAATTTCTGGTTCCTGTCTTATCCACCAACTGAACATAATGATGTGGACAAATTGATAATAATAATAGCTACGTTTATATTGCGCACCCACTCACCCCTGGGGATGCACAAGCCATTCAAGGACTATACGTTCCTACCAGATACCCTTGTACTACACCTGGAGGGTGGCAAATGTAGACTGATGTCTTGTCAAAGGTCACTGTCACGACAAGACTCTGCCCGCGTACCATTGTCATTCACAACGCGATAGCTCAGTCGGTAGAGCAGTGGTCTCGTAATCCAGTGTCCCGGGTTCGAAACCAAGTCGATGCGCTAGTGCCCTTTGGTAAGGCATTCATCCTCATTACCAGGCCCCTCGGAGAGGACCTAAAGCCGTCCGGTTGCTTACTTACAAGCAGTTATGCTTTCTTAGCAGTCAGGTAAAATAACCACCACATTGATACCTCTATACGGACCTCGGCGGTTTTAGAGATTTCAGTTCACTTGGTTCAATTTTATTTCACAAAAGGGCGATTAATCCACTTTGCGTGTTTGTTTAATTTCCGCAATCAAATAAAACACGAATAACATGCATAGTTTTATTCAAGTTCCAAATACGGCGGATAGCCTATTTCAGCTGTATTTAACAGCTGTATGGCAAACTTCTGGTCCTTCATATACAAAATAATCCTCTCACGAAAAATGATTATTACGACTACTATTTTGACTTGCAAAATGGTTTTGAAAAATTATGATATGTTTATGTTTTCGATTTTTGTTTTTAATAATCTTCTGACTGCCAAGAAAGTATGTGTATGTTTGTATTAGTAAGCAACCAGGGGGCCGACGGGCTTTAAGTCCTCTCCGAGGGACTTGGTAATGAAGATTAATGCCTTACCAAAGGGCATTAGCGCATCGACTTGCTTTCGAACCAGGTACCTTCCCGTTACGAAACCATGCACTGCTCTACCACTGAGCCATCGCGTCTCATCCATGTATTTGATATGTTCAATTATTTGATTGTACTCTCATACCCCCAAAGGGTCGTAAGAGTCAGTACAACCATCTCATGACAACCCATCAACTCAAAATACTTTAAAATAACCTTATAGACTGCTTTTAAAGATCATCGTAGAAGCATGCGGGTATCATAATTATATCAATTTGTTGTATATATCAAAGCTCCTCTGTAGTAAAATGTTATTTTACAACTATTTTTTGTTGGTCTAGACTCTAGAGACACTGAAATTACCTACAGAATGAGGACATTTTTGACACGAGGGAAGGGTATTTGGACAGAGAGAGGGTGAGAGAGGGAGAGAGGAGAGAGAGAGAGAGGGTGAGAGAGAGAGGGAGAGAGAGAGAGAGAGGGAGATCATTGGTAGTGTTTCACAAAGATCCTAAGTCGAACTTACCTCTAAGTTGGACTTAAACATTATGGAGAGCAATCTGTAGCCTTTAAAAACAATATATTCAAAAGCAAAAATTCAAATATTTCATACTGTTTTTCATAAATTCCCCATTAAGAAAATGAAATCTCGATTTAAAATTTTAAAAATATGAATGATTTGAATCAACATTTTATGCTTTTAAAATAACTTTTACAAAATATTTTCATAGATGCTAACGGCTTTCCGTAATTGTTAAGTCCAACTTAGAGATAAATTCAACTTAGGGTCTTTGTGAAACATCCCCCTGGTTTGATTTCTGCTTTGACTCGGAAAAAGTGATATGAGGGAAGGGTACTTTAATATAGAGTGATAGAAATAGAGAGATATAGATAGAGAGAGAGAGAGAGAGAGAGAGAGAGGGGAATAGAGAGAGAGAGATAGTGAATGAGTGAGAGAGAGAGAGAGAGAGAGAGAAAGAGATTGATATAATTTATATTTTATATATATTATATAGAGAGAGAGAGAGAGATATAGTGAATGAGTGAGAGAGAGAGAGAGAGAGAAAGAGATTGATATAATTTATATTTTATATATATTATATATAGAGAGAGAGAGAGAGATAGTGAATGAGTGAGAGAGAGAGAGAGAGAGAGAAAGAGATTGATATATATATATATAGAGAGAGAGAGAGAGAGAGAGAGAGAGAGACTCACTCCAATTCGGTGTGGGCTGCAGTCAGTTCATTCTCATTTTCGGGGTAGAACAGCGTCGAGTGTTTCCAGTAGCAGAACCACCTTGCGTACTGCCAGCTGTACCATCTCCGTACGTACAGGAGACACTTGCCGCTGGTCGGGTGAAGATGAAACCAGTCCTTGGCGCATGCGACCACCTCGTTGTCCGTAGCATCAACGAGCACGGCGGCGAGACACAGCAGAACGAGCACCGGGAGAATGGTCCGCATGGTGATGATGATGATGGTGAGGGGTGTGCCGGGTATCTATATGCAAATGAATGGATAACCTGCGGTTAGCACATCGTCGCAGTTACAGTAGTGGTACCAGAATATTATTGCTGTAAATCTGAAGCTTAACAAAGCCAGACCAAAGGTTGCCAAAGAAACTGTTCAAAAACACTTAAGATGAAAAGAAGCAAATTATTGAATAGTTGAGAAAATATCTGATTTCTATTGATAACATTGTACGTCAATTATATTTGTTCTCACAACTTTATTTTTATGTTTGAATGTAAATGAACACCTCACAACTTTATTTTTATGTTTGAATGTAAATAAACACCTCATTATAGGCACACACACACACACACACAAAAGTAGTGGTTCCCCCCCCCCCCCCCCCGCCGCCCTTAAAAAAAAATCATGTCCCCTCCCTAGTTAATCTTACCCAGATGCACATGATACAGTAGACAAAGAATGCATGAGCCCCAAGTCTCTATAAAGCCTCCCCCGTCCCCTCCCTCACCGTCGCTAGGTGAGAAGCATCCATGAATTCGAATTAGTAAAAAACCCTAGATTTAATTTGGTGTATGGAGTATTTTGAAATAGAAATGTATCCAGGTAATACGCAATAACTTTTAATAGGTTACAAAATGTTTGATCCAGCGATAATTGAATAAATAATAACAAAAAAAAATGATAAAATACTAATAAATAACAATGATCGTAATAGCATTCATAATCATAGCACTTAATACTGGTCTTCGAGGACTTTATTCCTACCGGGTATCCATTTACATGACCTAAATGGAGAGTACGTGGTAAATGTAGATTAATGTTTTTGCCAAATGACGTTAGTGACGGTCTGTGATTCGAACCCTCAACCCTTGGATTGAGATTCAAGTGAATGAACCACTATACCACAACACCTCCATAAGACATACAATGCTGTTAACTCTTATCCTGCCACAGGGCTATCCCCATTGTGCCAAGCCACAAATCCCCCCAGTGCCAGGTTAATTGTGAGATAATCGGATTAACGCGATGGTACTATCAATAGCGCGTGTAAAACACTAGGCACAGTACAATGGGCATGAACAATAACTGCTATTACGAATGCTGCATTTCACGCAAGAAACAGCAGATCGGTAGCTTGATCGCACATACAAAGCACTGTAACAATAACGTGCATGCATGCATATGGCAGGATATGAGTTAATAGGGCTAATCCAAATGTTATCATCGTATAGGCGTATACCAACAATATTGAATTGACATTCATTTCTATCATCATGATAATATATACAAAGATAAAAGATGGAATATAATAACAGATCACAATAAACTACCAATAAATTGACAATTATTATTACCCCAGCAAGTGCCAGGTAGAGAGTGACAAATAATGTAGATTAATAATGCCTTACCACAAGACGTTAGGACAATACTGGGATTCGAACCCTCAAAATGTTTTTGTATTGAGGGTCAAGTAATTGAACCACTGCTAAATGACATCTCTAGTATTGAAATTGCCAATGGCTTAAATTCTAAACAGGCCTATACACAATACAATGTCTTACCAATCAGTGAAGATTTAAAGAAGAGTCCGGTCCAGTCGTTTCTGCAGAACTCTTGAACCGCTGCCCGAGGTGCAAGAATGTAAAGGAATTAAATGCTGGGGGTATTTATATATTATTTGGGGGTACAAAATTGGTTAAAAGGTGGGGGTCGATTTGTATAACTTTAATACGCAGGTTTAACAAAAACAGAACCATCTGGTGATTAATCTATGAATTGTGTTTTAGAGGAATTTATCGGACTGGAAGTAGTCAAGATAATATTGAATTGTGCCAGGTGGTCGTATTTAATGAAAACTTGCCATAATTAATAACGACGGTCACATGAATGAAGGACTGGGTATATTTCTATTTTCACCTGGATATCACCCTTCTCTTCCCCCTCTCTCTTTCTCTCTCTCTCTCTCTCTCTCTCTCTCCGGCTCTCTCTATCTCTCTCTCTCTCTCTCTCCCTCTTCCCTTTCTGACTAATTGCTTTTTCTTGAACAGAGCTAGTAGAGGTATAATTATACAGACACTCCCCTTCCCGCAAAAGTGGGAAGATGTATACCCGAATCCCGCGATATTTATATCCGGTCTCTCTTTCTCTCTATAATCTCCGTGTCAATCCGTTTTTCTTCCCCCCCCCCCCTCTCTCTCTCTCTCTCTCTCGCTTCACTTTCTCAATCCCCCTCTCTCACTCTCCCATGTCTTTCTCTCCCCATCTCTCTACCTAGTAACTCTAATTCCTTCTCTCTTTCTCCTATCCAATCTCACCCCGCCCTCTCTCTCTTTCTTTCTCTCTCTCTCTTTTCTCTCTCTCTACCTTTTATCTTTCTGTATTTAGCCGCTCTCTCTCTCTCTCTCTCTCTTCACCACCTCTCCCTCCAGGTTCCCATCTCTCTCTCTTCATCTCCTCTCTCTCTCTCTACCTATATCCTTTAACCTCTGTTTCCCTCTCTCTCTTTCTCTCTACGTTCATATCGCAATCACGTATTTTCCTATGTTTCTCATATTGTTGTTATAGGCCTATTAATTATGCTCCAGTTTTGCCTGCACAAAATAATTACCCTCTTGAATATAAACAATACTTGTATGTCGATATATTTTTTCTTCTTTTTAATAAGCAGTTATTAAACTTGATCACCCGGTGACATTAGGTTCTTTGCCAAAACAAACGAAACACCAAACGCTTCACAAGAACGAAAACATAACAATTATGGGTTATATTTTGAGAATCATGCTGGCAGACCTAAATCCTTGAATTGCCAAGCTCAATACGTTTTGTTTTGTTTGTTTGTTGTTGATTTTTTTGGGGGGGAGGGGGCGGGGGAGATAAATTTTGGAAAAGAACTGTGCCTGTTTTTATAGTTGTTGTTTTATGATAAGAAACACAGGACGAATTAAAACTTCTTGGCAGAGTTAATACAAACGGGCACGAGCGCAACTACTTTAGTAAAAAAAACAATCTACGGCAATTTAGTGGCCTTGTGCGTCACTCTTATTAAAGATAAACTTGAGTTCTGGTAAAAAAAAGAAAATGAATTCTCACAGAATCTAACGAAACTTACACTGAATGTTCAAGATTACAAATAAATGTCATGTGCCAAAATATTTTTGAAGAAAATGTATACTGGCTGAGTAATGAGCATAGAAAGATAAGGAGATCAGGGTAGTACTAGCCCCGACACCATGTGTGTTGTCCCATATACATCTTTCTGTGTAAGTAATTGTTACTTTACCAAGACTCTGCCAAATTTATGATGATTTTGATGACTCCAGAACCTTGCATTACACACCATTACTTACATGCTATATGATCAACTTTTCTGATCCATTCCACACCTTTTCTTTCACAATGCAATCGCATTACCAGTATTAAAGTTTATCTTTAAATGGTCTAAATCGCCAATGACCACCGAAATGTTCTAATTCGAGCATGCATGATTCAGCGGGGCATTCAATACGGTATTGAAGTTGTCTTTGAGTTGATTTATATAAACATAAACGTATTTACCATGCATTCATTCCAAACCAATAGAAAAAGATAACACTCGAATGTATTCCTAAACTCATCAAGGGTGTATTTCATAATTATAGTGCCAAATTGTCGTCGCAATCCACAATAAATTCATCACAATAATTATATCAATTACATATAAACTGTTCATCATACTGTTTGTACTGTTCATTAAACTGTCCATTATACTGTCTATGTTTAACCTGAAGAAGGAAGATGCCTTTCGGAAATATGTGTATTTGAATAATAAACAGTTTGATAATATTAGCAAGAAACTTGCCATAATTCTTATGTCCATTTAATATGATTGATATAAAATATAAATATAAGTGCGTTAATATATACATATACTATCTATATAGCTAACAACCACATGTATAATATGTACATTATTAAGGAAACACATATTGGTGAATTATTTACATTTCAATTTTTGTAGTACTGGCATTAAGGTACATGATTTATACAAATAGTATGATAATAATATGAATGATCCGAAACGCAATACATGACTAATGATACAATAATAATACAAAATACTTTTTTTTTTCGTTCTGAGGGCATTCTCCTTGACAAAGGTTAAACAAAAGTAAACAAAGCAACTGAAATATTGCAGAAATAGAACAATTAATGTTTCTATGTACATTATACATTTAATAACTACCACCATTGTAATTTGTTTTCACTTTTCTTTCTTTTTCTTCTTGTTCTTCTTCTCTTGCTTCTTTTTATCATTATCATAATCATTATCATTGGTATTTTTTTTTCTGCTTCTACTGCAACTCCTACAATTGCTACTACTACTATTACCAATGTTTCTGTGATGGCACTATAATAATCATAATATATTATGATGTCATATTAGGTCTGGGTTTAGAAGTCAATCCCGCTTGAGTTCTACTTTCCTTTTACTGCGAAGCTAGGATATATGTTCTATCACTTTTACAAAAGGAGGAAAAAGGAAATTGCTTTGTTTGGTATTCCTGTGGATCTCACGTCTCCATTATTTTAACATTATTATAGTTTCCAATGCGATTTGTTGTTGAAATGTATGTGGTAAGTTCTAATAACACGGGTTTTAACAGATCTGCTTATTTCTAAAACCATATTTGACCACAGTGAACATTATTTTAAATGTAACATTTAGGATAATCCTTCGTTTTGTTATTTTTTCCTTCTTTTTTATAGTATTACACAGCCGGCGAAATGAGAGTTGTGCTCAAACATTCCTACTGTTTGTCTCACACGTATATTATATTCATTACCTCAATAGACGATTTCCTTAAGGTTCCCGGCTAAATTTGTATCATCACGTATTAGTCGAAATATATTCTTTCACATGATTGGTAATGAGAGCTTCCATTTCATTTTTTTTTGAGGGCCGTTTCCAAAACTGGTCTTTACCTTTAAGCGCTATATAAAAGCTGAATATTAATATGATTATTATTATTATTATTATTATTATTATTGTTATTATTATTATTATTTGTGTTCACTACATTGACTATCATTACACCTAATTTTACGAGAACATATATCTGTTTTTAGATAATTGTTACTATATCTTTGTTTATGCGAGAAGAACTTTGACGTTTAAAGTTGTTCATGCGTGGGCATATATAGTCGTTCATAAATATATGATAGAAACAACTGTATACACTCCTAAAATTATCGACCACATATTTTTAATATAATGCATATCAATAAAGAATAAAATAATGACAAATAATAATGTTACCTGAGTTTCGTATGCAGCTGTTAAGATTAACATAATTGAATTATCACTTACAAAAGCAATTACTATTAGACACAATAACCTAATCTTCAAACACATATTTCATTCTTTTGTATGAACTTCCTGAATGTTTTCGTCACACAAGCCTATTTCCAATACAATAAAAAGTGTTATTCTAATAGCAATCCAAGAAATAGTTCTCCGACGGAATAATGAATAGTATAATGTATATATACATATGATATATACTTATAAAAGGATATACAGTGCGTCCCAGAATAAACGAAACCGAGAATTATCGATGTTTTATCCTAACTAAATCGCAATTATAATTGATTGAGGTGTCATATGAAAGGGCAGAAATTGACTTTCTATAAATGTGATTTTCTCTTTGAAATTCAGATACCGCCCGCCAAATGACTTTTTGGTTTCCTCTCTTCAAATTGTTTTGAATCACTCATGCGTGAAATATGCATCATATGAGTTGCATCAAATGAAAGAGGAGGATCTAAGCTTTCCAAATATGTCTCATTTATTAATTATAATTGCGATTAAGTTATGATGAAACATTGATAATTCTCGGTTTCGTTTTTTCTGGGACGCACTATATAGTACATATAATACAATAGGGGGTTCATAAACAAATTTATTTACAAATTAATAACAAGTACATTAATTAGCTATATGCATTACATAGGTCTCAGTGAGTATAATCTCTCAAACTTAACGGTGATGTGAAGTACTGACGCAATTGCATTACTTTTATATTAATGCTCCGAGAATATAATGAATAATCTCAAACTTAATGCAAGGCCATTAACAAATAGATCGTTCTATAACCATGTTACCTGACTGGACTAAAACCAAAAAAAATAAGACAAATGTACAAACATAAATATTGCACTAAAATACCTCAAAATATTGAACTAAAACAAACATATTCTGTTCTGCAATAACAAAAGCTTACTCCGGTATGATAAAAATATAATTTTAAACCAGGGTGGCCGAGCGACTTTCAAAGTGGGGGTCATCAACAAAAAAGGGCACTTTCTGGAAAAAAGGGCACCTACAGTGGGAAATCTCAAAGCGAAAATATACAATTTTTAGACATTGGTATATACCCCTACATTGTGATTACATTATCAGGGATGATTTCAATATTTGTTTCTCTTCATACATCATACAAGATATCGCTTAAGTATCAAACTTTACAGTTGGGTGTGATGTCTGAATATGCATTTACGAGCGAGCGAAGCGAGCGAGAAAATTTTTAAAGATCTGTGAGGTCGCAGTGCGAAAAATTACATCTTATAAAGAGGAAAAAAGCCAATCGTGATGGGGTTATAAGCACATTCTCATAACGGAAGACTGAAAAGACCTTTGATAAGTAACATAATTATATAATCTTTAAATGCGAGCGAGCATAGCGAGCGAACTTTGGGGGAAACTGCTCTTAGTCGCTTTAAATAAGGGGCACGTTTAATGATTACATGAAAAGGGGACAATTATCGAAAGGGATAAGACACCTATTAGAAAAGAAAAGGAGCACGTGTATAAGTACAAAGGATAATTATAAGAGGTGAAAATGAGGCATTTTTTCACTTGAAAAGAGGCACTCACCAGTGATGAAAAGGAGGCGTTTACGAAAATGGGAAATAGGAATTTGTTGACGGAAAAGGGGCACCCATCAGATTTTAATAGGGTCATTTATAAGAGGTGAAAAGGGGATAGGTCCCTTATTAGAAAGGAAAAGGGGCACGTATCATTATTAAAAGGGGAATTATCAGAGTTGCAAAGGGGCACTGACCAGATATGAAACGGGGCACTTATAATAAAGGAAAATGTGCATTTGTTGAATGAAAAGGGGGCACCGTTCAGATGTTTAAAGGGGCAGTTATGAGAAGGGGAAGGGGAAGTTATGAGAAGGGGAAGGAGCTCTCTCTTTTTAATGGGGGCACTTATCATAAGGAAAAGGGGCACTTATTAGAAAGGGAAAGGGGAAGTTATGAGAAGGGGAAGGAGCTCTCTCTTTTTAATGGGGGCACTTATCATAAGGAAAAGGGGCACTTATTAGAAAATAAGAGGGGCACATGTTAAAATGAAAGGTGCGCTCATCCGAGTTAAAAAAGGGGTAGTTATTAAAAGGAGAAAGGGCACTTCTTACAAAGGAAAAAAGGGGAAGTTGTCAAAGTAAAAAGAGCACCTCTCAGTTTTGAATAGGGCAATCATCAGAGGTGAAGGGGCACTTATTAAAAGTGAAAAGGGGCACTTCTCGTACCTGAAAAGAGGCACTTACTAGAGATTAAAAAGGGCACTTATTCAAGATAATTTCAAGATTCATGAGAATGGAAAATGAACATTTATTGCAAAGGAAAATGGGAACATGTCGAAGGAAAAGGGGCACGTGTCAAAAATAAAAAGGGCACTCGTCAGAGGTGAAAAGGGGAAAGGGGCACTTTTACTAAGTAATAGGGGCACTTGTCAAAGTAAAAGGGGCACCTTTCCTATGTAAAAGGGGCACTTCTTACAAAATAAAAGGGGCACTTTTCCTATGTAAAAAGGGGCATTTCGGGGGTATCTGAAAAAGTGTGGGGGGGGGGCACTGTGCCCCCCCCCCTGCCCCCCGGGAGGGCCGCCTCTGTTTGAAACTGAAAAATGTAAGAATGATTTAAAACGGAAAGGGGGCGCTTCAATAAAGTGGGGAGGGTTTTATAATAGGAACTGAAGTGTATGATGAGAAATCGCATAGCAAATGATTACAGAATCTTGGTACACTTTGGTATTCTCTTCAGACAATATACTCATGTTGAAAAAAAAAGTTGCATTTCACAGCTTTATTACAAGGGTCAACTCCCATTTAATCCGATTTTGTGTTTTTTAAATATTTTTTAATATCACTTGCTTCCAAGATATTCGAAGCTAGAAAACGTATATAAATTTGTAATCTCTGTATGGACATTGTACTGTAGATGTTTTAAGTGAACAAAAGAAGAGAAATTTGCATTTACAACTAATAATTATAGGGATTCAAACATATCCTATTTTATACGCCCTCTACGATGAGTATCATAATTAGTTATCTGCGCTTTGTATTTTGTGCACATTGGTTCATTGTTTTATACAGACTATCACTTTTTGCATTATAAGACAGATTTATTGAAAAAGCTTGATGGAAGGGACCAGTTCTCATGTAAAGCATAATGCTAGCATCGACTGACAGAGACCATTATGTAGGTAGGGTTGCATATTAATTCTCACTTGTAACAATTATACCTGTGTTACTTTTTGCTATACCACTCAATTTATCGATACATTTCTCAAATAAAGTTTATGATGGATTAAACAATATATCAAGAATTTGCCACTCATGCACATTTCGATCAAGGTCAAAGACTACATCGAAAATTTCCATAAGCGTAGATCCACAACAGCTACCAACATGTATTTTCTACATTACATCGTCATCAAAATAATCCCATGTAATATCATGTCTGTATACAAACATTGGGAAGTTCAGTTATTTTATTTTTTTAAATCAAAATACCTTCGAGAACATCAAATAACGATTTTGAAACGGCTGAAAAGTTTACAAAGACCAATAGGAAACGTTGGAAACAATGTGCACATGTAATATGTAATTCTGAAAATCCTCCAAAAAAAAAATCCCAAAACAGTTGGTTTCTTTTACCGAACTGACATCATCGCTCATCAGAAGACTTGATTTATGAAAGTACAAACGACATGACTCTTCATAAGTGTTTATATATCTGAATGTAAAACATCCCGCTGCTTTGAAAACCTTTAATAAGGAGTGGAATTATTCCAATTATGATGATGAAAGTGAAGCATGAGTTACGTTCAATAAATGACAATGTATAAAGCTGGTTGGCAGGAACCAACATTATCTAAACATGAAGATACAATAATTCATTTGATTTCTTCTGGAAGTTAACATGTTGACAGCTGAATTATCATTTTACTCATAGGTTTAATACTGAAATAACCAGGTTTCAGTAGACGATGGGTTAATAGACATACCGCGAGGTATAACAGATATGCAACATGTCATTTTGACCAGATAGTGTATACCGTAGTCATCACTGATACTCAACTAATGTGAGGAAAAAAAATGATGTCAGGTACAATGCAATGCACTGTGTCAGCTGCAGCTATACTGTGGCTCAATCAATGTGGTTAATTGGGTAATACCCCGAATGCGTATCATCAATACCCTGAAAAAGACAACGATAAGATGAATTATATTAGACAAACATAGAAATGTCTTGTTTACACATTCACTGGATTTTCGATATAAATGATGAAATATACATTTTTTCATAGCTCAGGGTTATAATACCGAGAGCTTCAGTCTCTTTAATATTGAAAAGGTTATACTAGGAATACGTCTGGCTCTACTGACCGCCTTGACAAATGTTAGTTTAATTAAAGAAATCATGTTCTTTTTCATATTTCTGTCTAGGTAATGACGTATATTATCGTAAAAGATAAGAAATTCTTCCCCTAAATGCATCATAGCATTCAATTATCATATAGCTGGAGACTCTTGATTAATTATAGATAAATCGGGAAACACTACGCCCCTGCCTGTTATTCATTTTGCTGAATTAAGAGTGTCTTATAAAAGAATGCTCAGGGTGATAAAGGTTTGTTTCATCAGACAATCAACGACTATATAATCTAAGTTTACTAATATAAGAACTTGATATTCATTTTAAGACATCAGTTTACTAAATGTAATGGTTTAAATGCAAGTCCAGGAGGGACATAAGCGGAGGGCCAACGACAGAAAAGAGGGTTTTGCCTGCTACTACCGCACGCAATCCTCACACTACATTAGCCCAGAAATCAATCAGACACAGAGGTCCAGATGTATGGAATTCTTTACCTAATGATATTCGAAATATAAAATCAACAAACTCCTTTAAAAGAGCACTCAAATGTATTATCATTTCACAGATGTAAGATTTTACTTACATTATAATCTATTTATCAGTTTTAATTAAATCTAACATAATTTTGTTGCTAGGCTTAACGAAATTCTTTTTTTTTTCTTTCTTTTTTTAACTTTGTAAATAGTGTAAATAGTTCACTAAAAAACTTTAGGAATTTTATTTGTCATATATTATATATTTGAAAGGTGTTGTAACGATTCAAGCTCTATTTGCTTATGTTTCATCACCTTTGTGTGTTCATTCTTCAAACTGTATATAAGTTGCAACTTGTCTTTGATAAAACAATGTTATATTCTTTTTCACGTGAAGTTAATTCAAATGTATTGTAGAATTGAAAATGATTTGTTATATTGTATTAATTTTTCATGTGATGTTAACTTCAATGAATTGTGAAATTGTGAACATGCATAAATAAATAAATAAATAAATAAATAAAAATAACTAGGCACACCTTGTTTATTCTAAATATTTTATCATAATACACAGTATTTCAGAGTTGTGGTAGATGTTTTTTTTGATGGTCTCCCCGAAATCGGAAATCCCAAAAAGCGGCCCTTTTGACGTAAAATAGTATTTTGTAAATAATGTTTTAAGGAAACCTTAAACAAGCATGAGTTTGGTGTGTTATGAATGAAAAGAAAATTACAGAATCTGTATTTGGATACCAATGTTAACAGAATTAGGGTTAACCCATAGCCTGCCATGAGGCTGCATGCACGCTACCTATTGAGTGCCATGTGCGTGCAAGGGCGCATTCGTAGTAGCAGTTAATTTTCATGATCATTGGGCTGTGCTGTGTGTTTTGCACTCGCCATTCATAGAACCATCGCGTTAATCAGATTATCTGCAAAACAACCTGGCACAGTGGGGATTAGCCCTGTGGCACTATAAGAGTTAATTAACATCGTGATTTTAAGTAAGAAACATATTTTCCATAATATATCAAAGTTGCAGATGTATCTTTATTCGTGAATTTTTATGAATCTGCCCATGTACAAGGAAAAATCTCGTGCGAAAGGAGAGGCTTATATCTCTCTTCAGTGAAAAGTTGTAAAATCCCAAAGTTATTGACTTGTTTTCTACAAAAACGATATTTTCGCCCATATGTGTATCAACTGTATGCATATATCTGTATTGGTGATTTGAGGACGTGTGTGGTGTGTTTAAATCAAGTTGTATTGATTACTTTTTTAGTATAACCTCAATTCACCATTGGTTTAGTGTCATATGACAGATAATTAAAAAACCTTCAAGGTGATTTCAGTTTCATTGAGTTTTGTCAAAGAGTGTGTAAACTATAGATTTTGAGCTGAAGATGTTTTTGGTGGATATCCCCCTAGTACCTTGGTATATTAAAGGTACTATGTCCCATTTGCAGGCCCAAAAAAAAATGAAAAGGTTAATTTCCAACGGTATTTGAAAGATAATACTAATTTATAACTTTTAGAAAATAACGACTATTAGTTGTTGAATCGACTTAGGAGCTTTAGAGCCAGTAAGTAATGGTCTGATTTTCAGACCATTGTTCCGAATGGTCGTACGTGTTATGCTGCGCAAAGATTCAATCAGTTTAATTATGGCCATTACAAGAAAAGGGTTATTGATGTAGACAAATGCTCATGTACCCTTTACAGCTCATGTACCCTTTACAGCTCATTTTATGTTTCAGGGGTGATAGTGAGCACTAAAAAAAAAATAGGTTTTTTGTTTTCCCCTTAACCACGCCCCCTTTGAATAAAAAAAAAAAAGAGGATTCGCAGGAAAAAATGGCATCTAACAACATTCCCCCCTTTCGAGTAAGAAAATTGGGGGGAAAATATGTCAAAATATGGAAGAATAGAAAAAATCAGGGGGAATCGGGAAAATCAGGATAAATAGGGAAGAAAAAAAAAATCTGGTAAAAAAAAAAAAAAATCTGGATTTTTTTTTTTTTTTTTTTTTAATCGGGAAGAAAAAAAAATTCGGATTTTTTTCTTTTCTCGGGAAACCGATTTAAATTGGGTTTTTATCTTCTCTCTGGATTTGCTTTTCATTATTGTCGTTATCATATAAAATACTTCTGGCTTTTCTGAGTGTTATTATAACACTCAGAAAAAAGCATCTTATATGATAACGACAATAATGAAAAGCAAATCCAGACAGAAGAAACAAAATGAACTAAATATGACACCTGAAGAAGAATATATTTTAGAGAAGAAACATGCTTATAAAAAATATGTTATTAAGCCATGTTTCTCTTTTCCGACGAGAATTCGGTTGCAGACAATGGTATCAAATAGAAAATAAAGGAATAAAGGACACAAAATGAGAATGTAAGGGAAAGAGAAAGATTTGAAAACATAATGGAGCAGAAGAAGATACTATTGAAGAAAAGGTAACTCAAAAATGTATGGACTATGGACCAACGAAAATTTAGAATTTGTTTTCGTCTAGAACAAATGGAAAGATAAATGAAAAAATAAACGATAATCAGAAGAAGGTTAGCATCATTTAATACACATGGAATTACAAACACTGACCCAACTTGGAACAACAATAACTTACATGCATGAGAAACACATTGAGTGTGCCGGTATGAAGTCTCGTCAGATGACTTTCCAGTCTACCGCCCGCTGTACTCCCACACCCTTCGAGGCTATGTTTAGAAAAGAAAGTGATGGGAGTAAAAGTAAATGAGTTGAGAGAGAGACAGAGAGAGGGGAGAGATAAACTAGTGAAACTCGTGAAAAGTAATCATTTCCACCAGTATTGTATTGTTTAAACATTGTTAATGAACAAATGATGAGTCATAGATTTATAAGCTGACGGGGGGCGGGGGGGGGGGGGGGGGGTGCCTGCCACCTCCTGAAACTGCCACTGTTAATTGACATGTTCTTTAGCCGATGCACCCGAAAAACAATTGAGAATAGAAAGGGCAGTTTGCCTTTAACGATTTATTGCAGAGCACACAATTTTCAAATGCTCTGTATTTGATGATACTTCATGCAAATACCTTAAAGTTGCAAATTTTAAAGGTAGACTAAAATGTTCAACATGGCACTAGAAATAATGATACCGATTATTAACATGATAGGGACAGTGATAAAAATGATAATAATAATAACAAGTCAAAGCAAAGCGTAGCATCCCTTCGCCGGGTACAAATGGCCTGGGTGGACGGCGCGCCGAGGGTTGACGTGATGGCAACGGAGCAACTTTCCCGCGAGCCAGTATAGAAACAGCCAGTCCTCGAGTATTAAAGCAGTCGATGTGACTTTTATATGCCGATCGTACGAATTAAAACAAAAATCTACCAAGAATTCTTACCTTAGCCTTTTATTGAGTAAAGATTAGTTAAAACATCACAGAAAATCTGAGACACTGTCTGTTAATCTTTGCTAGCAAAATGACTGAAAGTTTCAATCATTTGGGAATCCCAGAAAAAACTGTATGGTGTCCGCGCTCGCACAAAGACAATTTTAACACGTAAACCGATGGGGATCGCAGGAGGATGAGGGCACAAATTAATGGATATTTCCTGTGAGTGGGGCATGGCTTAAATTCACGACTCCAATTTCGACCAATCAGATGGCTAGATTTCTAAAGTGAGGTATATGAAATCATCTAATAGTATTTCAATCTCTTTTATAGAATATTTGAACAAGAATTTACCACACTTTTGACATCGTCTTCACATATCTGCAGCTCCCGATGAGGTGATTCAAGTCTTCCTCGTCTGTGCACTTCACCCCGGACACATATAACTGCTGCATGTTCTTGGTTTGTGCTCTGATCAGAAGACCCAGTCCTCTCATCGTCTCTCTCGATACACTGTTCATCTCTGGTGGGAGTGATGAAGGTGCTCTAATGGTCATTCGTGTGAGCTGCTGTCCTCCAGTCCGACCAAGATCAGCCGTGATCTGAGATATGTCTCTCTCTGCATCACCAATAGTGATATCGATATCTCTCAAGCCAGGAAGCGATGAGAGCAGCCCTTCATTGCTTTGTAACGTCGCTCTCTTTACTAATAATAGCTTTGTGACGGATGTAAGCTCAGGAGGAGATGGAGGGAAACTTAGAGAAGAGTCTGAGATGGTGAGATGTTTCAGTGAGGTGAAGGATCTGAGACAAGACCACATCCTGGTAGTCATCTCAGAAGATAATTGGAATTTCTCTACGACGAGTTGACCGTCATCCTGGAATAAGAAATTTATTTAATACGTTAGCCTTATAATAAACAACAAAAATGGGAAATGGGCAAAATTTAAAGGAAGGCACCCTGTCGATATTATAATGTGGGAATGTGGACTAGTTTATATTAGGGACTTTTAGATTCGCACGAAGACAATGGGGATTGCTACGATCGACGTCCTTTTAATGCACTGCCTTGAATGGACGTCACACCTATCAGTCCATGGAAATCCGAAAGTCCCTATTTCATGTACATCGCGGACTTGTCCGATTATGCAAATTAGTAACACATGGTTTCGCAACACATGGTTGAGGGCTTCAGTGGGTAAATTATTTGCTGTAGACTTTGGGTACGTTTTGATCACATTCTGTTAGAAGTTTGTAACAGACTTAATTGTGTAACTTTACTGATCGACTCTAATAGTGCAGAGTGTTTACATTGAACAGGTATATATTCTGATGTTGTGGGACAATGGGGCAGATTGATCCAGCGTATTATAAATACTTCCGATTAATGCATGCATTTCTTGATTGTCTGATACAAGTATAATCGATGCTCTGATTACCAGATTTACCTTACTGTTTAATGAGATTCTTACAGCTGATTTGATGTTTAGATTTAATTATGTCATTCAAGTAAATGACTATAATATTTGATTTCAGTGATTATACAAGAGAATCAAGATGAAAGAGATTTGATTTGGAGATCAATTTGTAATTACTTTATATGATATTTAATCAAGAGGATAACAATATCTCTGTTTAGTAATTACTTTGTTTTATTTTCATCAAGATAATCCTGTGTTTGTGAAGATGACTTTTATAATTGTTTGAAATACTGAGACATATTTTGTTTTATTATTCTGCCAATTGCAGGGTTTTCGTTTCTGCGTGTGGATACCGAGAAGCAATTGTTTTTTAATAAAGCATCAGTTACACTAACAAATGTCCCTTGGGCTTCATTTACTGTCTCACCACGTACTACAACAATAATTCATATATCTGTTTGGAAAATTGAACTAGTTAAAACTCCTGATACCAGAGAATACTGCCATTATTCCGGAATGTCATATCTACTCTCGCTTTTCTGTCTCGGATATATCTTCATATAGTTCTTATTTGTAACTGCGGTCCATCTATATTTTATCGTTGTGAAATACTTTTCATATCGGACATTATAGGCCTGTTCGCTGTACAAATGTTCAATTCACTTTTACTGTGTATGTGCAGTGAAGCCCTCGGGGACAATCACTTCTTTGTTCTCGTACTTGCCCAGGGAGCTCTTTTGTTGAAGTACTGTGTCCATCCATATGCCTTTCGTGTACTGTGTTAAGTTGTGACGTATATATACGGTATATTATACATTTTTTCCTATTCCAATTATGAACTCTACTGTGCCAGAAACTAGAAATACTTCACAAATGACTATGACTACTCAGGCCACTCAAGAATATGATCATGGTAGCATATTCAAGTACCCATATACAAGATTAATTTCAGGCCTTATAATGTAAAACATACATTTAAAAAGTGGCAGGTTCACAAATTGAGCGAAGTTTACAAATATGTTAAAGATACTATGTCCCTTTTGCAGCCAACATCAAATTCTGTAGAACTTTGCAGGAATTATGAATAGGTCATGTGTCCTATCTGTGAAATTTAAATATTAGCAGTGTCCTGGTATTAAAATTATGCAAGGAAACCTGTTTATACTTTCTATACTTCTCTGTCAGACACTAGCTATTGAGTGACTGACTGACATCTTTTTATCTTGATTAATAACATTCATACACAGAGCTGTAACAGGTACATGAGCATTTGTCTACATCAATAACTACTTGTAATGGCCAAAATTAAACTGATTGAATCTTTGTGCAGCACAAAACATACGACCATTCAGTACAAGGGTCTGAAAATCAGACTATTTACTTAAGTGAGTGCAATCACTTAAGTCGATTTGACAACTTTATGATGGTCATTATTTTCCAACAAAAAGCCATTTTCAAGCCCTTTCGTTTCGATCGGCTTGTAAAAGTCATGGACTTTTCTGAATGACCTAAAGGTTATCATTATGATTGCAGCATGAGCTAATTCCAGGATTTTGTTTCAGAATCTGAGACAAAGTTACTGAGTCACTTAAATGGAATGCCAACCCAGTATTTATGCCAATGTTTAACCGTATATAGCCTGGGGGAGGCTTTAGAAGCCCCCCCCCCCCCTGCATTTTTTCGCGAATATTTGTTTACGCTTAGGGATCTTGCGCTGAAATCTTATGACTTTTTTCTTTCGAATCTTGCGCATCTTTTGAAACATTTCCGAAATCGGACCTACCGTTATAAAGTCACATGACCTTTTGTTTTTGCATGAATGTAAGCCCGAAAATCACTCATTTTCGTGATTTGTGTACAAATCATATGGAAATATCTTTTTTCTAAAAAAGAGATAAAACATTGGTTATTTGGTCTTCTTTATAGTTTGGGTGTTTGTTTTTGGGGTCAAAATAGTTGGAAAAAAAAAAAGAAATACATCAAAAAAATATCAAAAAAAAACATAACACGGAATAACGTTGCTCTTCCAAATTGTTTTGTTTCTACATGTACCTCTCTTCCATTTTATCTGTGTATTCTATAGCCTACATGTACACTTTTCTAGGACATCCGGCCATTTTAGCTGACTCTTGTTTCCTGTATTGAATACCCACGTACTCCATTGTCCCCCCCCCCCCCCTTCCTCTCTTTCTCTCTCTTCCTCTCTCGCTCTATCTTTATCAGCTTTCTTTGCTCTCCCTCAATTTATCCCTATTTAATATTCTCCTATGTAACTCATTTTGCTTTCAACGGCTGTGATCAGTATATGAAAAATTTCATAATTTATTGACTGTAGTCTATGTTTTGTCCATACTACATGTTGGTGGATCCGATGGCTCTTAACATACTGGTCATTCATGTTTTTTGTTTGTGTTAATTTCAAATTTTATTTTCAATATTTAGAAAATGTAGGGTCATCGGCAGTGTAATATTATAATCTGGTAATTAATAAAAGCCCTTACATCCAATATAATATATCAATAAAAGGGATGCCACTATATTTTTTACAAATATGCTATACACACGCTATACATTAAATAAATGTTTGTTATTTCGTTACACTGTCCAAAGATATACTTGCATACTTGTAGCAATCGATACTTAGAGGGTAACTTACATGCAAGGCAATCACCCTGAGTGACTTATTTGACATGTGAAGACCAGTGATGTGAAGTACTAGTCTACCGTCTATGTTTGTACCACAGCCAAGAAGCCTGCCAAATATAAATGAAATATACATTAAGTAAACAAGAGGGAACTTCGACTGCGCGCAGTCGAAAATGATGACGCCGCCATAGAGCGATTTTACAAACCAAAACAGAAGCAATTTTTAATATTCAAGTTTGATAGTAATCCATTAGCGGGTTCTCAGAATATCGTGATTACAAGTTTTTTTTCATATACATGTACATGGCTCTGCAAGATAATTACATGTCCTGAAATTGATAGTAATCCATCTGTCGGTTCTAATTAAAATGCGTTCACAAGCTATTTATATGCTTACATAATGAGCCCCATGACCTTTGACCTAAAACCTTAAAATCTAATCCGTTCATTGGCTCTGCAAGATACATAAACATGTCTTGAGTTTGATGGTCATCCGTCTATTGGTTCTCAAGATAATGCGATCACAATTTTTGTATACATAATAAGCCCCACGATGTTTGACCTTTGACCCTAAAATTTAATCAGTTCTTTGCTCTGCAAAGTCTTGAGTTAATTGTCTTAAGTTTGATGGTAATCTGTCCACCGGTTCTAATGATAGTGTGATCACAAGCTGTTCTTGCATACATAATGAGCCCTGTGACCTAACCTCGTGACCCCAAAATCTCATCAGTTCATTGTCTCTGCAAGATACATACATGCCCTAAGTTTGGCGGGAATCCATTAATCGGTTCTTTAGATAACGCAATCATGAGCTATTTTTGCATACATAATGAGCCCTGTGAACTTTTACCTTGTGACCCTAAAATCTAATCAGTTCATTGGCTTTGCAAGATACATACATGACCCAAGTTTGGTGGTAATCATTCAATCAGTTCTTGTGATAACGTGTTCACGAGCTATTTTTTCGTACATAATTAGCCCTTTGACCTCGTGACCCCAAAATCTAAGCAGTCCATTGGCTTTGCAAGATACATACATGACCCAAGTACAGATTTCAGTAGTCAAAAGTAACAAGAAACTATCATAATATAACGGGGCACTTATTACAAAGGAAATGGCACTGTCCCCCCCCCCCCCCCCCCTCCTAGTTCAAAATAACATTACCATGGTAACTATATTAGACGTATAATTATTATTATTATTATTATTATTATTATTATTATCACCATAATCAATTTTTGTAGAAAAAAAACTCACATAAAATGACGCAGTGTCTTCGCCTGTCCGCAAGACTCTACGAGTTCAACCAAGTCTTTTTCGTCTGTGCATTTAACTCTGGACAGACAAAGCCACTGCAGGTTCTTTGTTTGTTCTCTGATCAGAATACCCAGTCTTCTCATCGTCTCTTTCGATACACTGTTCTTCTCTGGTGGGAGTGATGGCGGTGCTGTAATGGTGATGTGTGTGAGCTCCTGTCTTCCAGACCGACGAAGACAAGCCGTGATCTGAGATATGTCCCTCTCTGCATCATCGATAGTGATGTCGATATCTATCAAGCCAGGAAGCGATGAGAGCAGACCTTCATAGCTATGTGATGTCACTCTCTCGGCTGCTAGCTTTGTGACGGATGGAAGCTCAGGAGGAGATGGAGGGAAACTGAGAGAAGAGTCTGAGATGGTGAGATGTTTCAGTGAGGTAAAGGACCTGAGACAGGACCACATCCTGGCAGTCATCTCAGTAGAAAGCTGACATTTTTTTATCTGCAGGACATATAGCAAAATGAAGAGAGACTAGGTTGTTACACCTACCTATTAAATGATGTTAGGCGAAACCAGGGAGATAACGAGTTACAAGAAATTGAGGATAATTGTGATCTCATGCATAGTGTTTTTTCTTGAGCTGTCCTGCCATCGTGTAAAATGCATGCTGCTATGAATATGCATAGAATGGATACGTTTAGGTTTCCTTGGATAGGGTATGACACATAATAATCTAATTTGACCATAAGGTAGATAAAACCATTGACATATAACTGGAAGTAAAATATGCCAATTAAATTCCTCGCAATTAATTGACATCACGTGATGAGCTGTGGACCAATCACACATTTGTATCTGTAAGAACTATCTATGATTCGATTGCTTGATCCTCAGGAAGAACCATATTAATGATGATGAGGCTACCTGGGTAAAAATGATTATTATCTCTATATATAACCCTATCCCACATACATGTACACATTAGGGCTAGAAAGTATAATGTCTCATTGTCCTTGAGTACCTACAAACATAACACCAATTAACGCCAAGTATAGGTATACATGCCTTTTTGAGTGGTTTTGGGTAGAAGGGATTTTGGAATGTTGAAATTCCATCTCAATTTCCCAATACTTTAGTACACAGAGGAAAGAACAGGTTACTACATGAACAATTTGATGAGGTCATGGGGGGGGGGATTTTTAAACTGAATAATTGGACATAGTTGCACCCAAAAAAAATGTCACAGACCTTTGCGATGTACAAAAGTGATTTGTAATGACTTCCATTTGGTTTTAATCTAACAATCCTACAGATTATAATGCATATTATTTTCATAACTAACAATTCACTGAAATGTATTGGTTCTAAAGATGAAATATTGGCCTACTACATGGATATAATATTGCCAGGATGTGTACAGGATGTATTGATTATAAAAGTTTCAATGCAGTCCTACATTTATCATTAGGGATGTGTTGGAAATTGAATTGAATTGACTTTTAAAAAATTAAAATGTTCTTTCCCACTCCCTATTTCAAAGGTGGTATATATGTTTACTTGATATTAATGTAGCTTTTACATAGTTTGAAAGCCATAGTGTTCCCAATTATAATTTCAAGCAGTTGTATGGGCCGCTATCATGACTAAAGTAATCTTGTTATTGTATTTATGCATTAAATGTTTATTGTTGCTCAATAATCTAAACATTCCAGATTATATAGTATTCAAGAAATTTTTTTGGAGTAAAGTTCCCTGTATTTCCAGTTTTTGTCAAAATTAGCTAGGCGGCAGTATTTAACCGCCTGGATTTCCCGGCCCACCTTGCGTATGGTATACGTTTCAAATATCTTCTTACCTGAACATCTGATTGTCTATCGTAGTCAAAAGACCCACAATCAAGAGACCTATAGTATTTGAAAAAGAGATATGAATGCGAAAGACACTCAAAAAAGAAACCTTCATGACATACCCTTAATATCCGTCTCTGCCTGTTAGTAGCTCATAGTGCAGAAGTTGGTAATAGATTTAAGATTTTGAGTTAAGGCTCTGCCATGTAAAATGATAAGCCTAAAAATATGCCATATAGTTTCAATTTAAAAACTTTTCACTTTGTATATTGATAGGGGATATATATATATATATATATGATTAGGGCTATACACCGATTCGGGCGACTTCTGGTGGAAGTGCGCCCTCATAAGGTGACGCCATAACTGGGGGGCGTCTGACTGCAGCTAGCTAGCTTACATTGCAACGGGTATGCTATACCTATACCGAACCTCGCCCAGGCCGGCCAGGGTCGCTGCTCCGCTAGCTAGTAACCGCTCTCGAGCTCTCTGTACTGTCAGCTGGATCGGAGAAGCCCCCCAGTTATAGCGCCGCCACCGGCGGGAAGGTACATAAAACCCCCAAACCGAATCGGTGTATAGGAAAATAGTATAATGATAAGACACCCACTTCTGTGAAAGGACATAGAACGGGCTGGAGATGAAGGATCAGAGGATTCCCATGTGAACATTATTACATTGACTCTTCCATGTTTCTCGCTCCATCGTTCCTCTAAGCAATTTCCTTCTTTTCTTTTTTCTTTTTCTAGCACATTATATTTTACACACGTTACTTATCTTAAATTAATATTTTTACTGTAATACACAGGCAACGCCCTTTTTGCTCTGATAACCATATATTTTAATTTTTTCGATTTCACAGTTTAACTTTTCTGTTGAGTTTTGTAAATTTTCTGTATATCCAAACTCACTGTAAATGCAGACTATCCAATGACTTTGAATATGCCGACGACTCGACGAGGTCAACCAAGTCTTCTTCGTCAAAGCACCTCATCCCGGAAAGAGAAAGCCGCTGCAGGTTCTTGGTTTGTTCTCTGACCAGAAGACCCACTTCTCTCATCGTCTGTCTAGATACACTGTTCTTCTCTGATGGGAGTGATGGCGGTGCTGTAATGGTGATGTGTGTGAGCTCCTGTCTTACAGACCGACGAAGACCAGCCGTGATCTGAGGTATGTCCCTCTCTGCATCATCGATAGTGATGTCGATATCTCTCAAACCAGGAAGCGATGAGAGCAGCCCTTCATAGCTATGTGTCGTCACTCTCTCGGCTGATAGCTTTAGAACGGATGGAAGCTCAGGAGGAGATGGAGGGAAACTGAGAGAAGAGTCTGAGATGGTGAGATGCTTCAGTGAGGTAAAGGACCTGAGACAGGACCACATCCTGGCAGTCATCTCAGTAGAAAGCTGACATTTTTTTATCTGCAGGACATATAGCAAAATAAAGAGAGACTAGGTTGTTACACCTACCTATTAAATGATGTTAGGCGAAACCAGGGAGATAACGAGTTACAAGAAATCGAGGATAGTTGTGATCTCATGCCTAGTGTTTTTTCTCGAGCTGTCCTGCCTTCTTGTAAAATGCATGCTGCTATGAATATGCGTAGCAAGGATACGTTTAGGTTTCCTTGGATAGGGTATGACACAAAATAATTTAATTTGACCATAAGGTAGATATAACCATTAACATATAACTGGAAGTGAAATATGCCAATTACAATCCTCGCAATTAATTGACATCACGTGATGAGCTGTGGACCAATCACACATTTGTATCTGTGAGAACTATCAATGATTTGATTGCTTGATCCTCAGGAAGAACCATATTAATGATGATGAGGCTACCTGGGTAAAAATGATTATTATCTCTATAATCCTATCCCACATACATGTACACATTAGGGCTAGAAAGCATAATGTCTCATTGTCCTTGAGTAGGACCTACAAACATAACACCGATTAACGCCAAATACAGGTATACATGCCTTTTTGAGTGGTTTTGGGTAGAAGGGATTTTGGAATGTTGAAATTCCATCTCAATTTCCCAATACTTAGTACACAGAGGAAAGAACAGATCACTACATGAACAATTTGATGAGTTCATGGGGGGGGGGGTTGGATTTTTAAACTGAATTGGACATAGTTGCACCAAAAAAAATTGTCACAGACCATTGCGATGTACAAAAGTGATTTGTAATGACTTCCATTTTGTTTTTAATCTAACAATCCCACAGATTATAATGCATATTATTTTCATAACTAACAATTCACTGAAATGTATTAGTTCTAAAGATGAAATATTGGCCTACTACATGGATATAATATTGCCAGGATGTGTACAGGATGTATTGATTATAAAAGTTTCAATGCAGTCCTACATTTCTCATTAGGGATGTGTTGGAAATTGAATTGAATTGACTTTTAAAAAATTTAAATGTTATTTCCCACTCCCTATTTCAAAGGTGGTATAGTATGTTTACTTGATATCAATGTAGCTTTAACATAGTTTGAAAGCCACAGTGTTCCCAATTATAATTTCAAACAGTTGCATGGGCCACTATCATGACTACAGTAATCTTGTTATTGTATTTATGCGTTAAATGTTTATTGTTACTCAATAATCTAAACATTCCAGATTATATAGTATTCAAGAATTTTTTTTGATTATTTCCCTGTATTTTCAGTTTTTGTCAAAATTAGCTAGGCGGCAGTTTTTAACCGCCTGGATTTCCCGGCCCACCTTGCGTATGGTATACGTTTCAAATATCTTCTTACCTGAACATCTGATTGTCTATCGTAGTCGAAAGACCCACAATCAAGAGACCTATAGTATTTGAAAAAGAGATATGAATGCGAAAGACACTCAAAAAAGAAACCTTCATGACATACCCTTAATATCAGTCCCTGCCTGTTAGTAGCTCATCGTGCAGAAGTTGGTAGTAGATTTAAGATTTTGAGTTAATTAAGGCTCTGCCATGTAAAATGATAAGCCTAAAAATATGCCATATAGTTTCAATTTAAAAACTGTTCACTTTGTATATTGATAAGGGATATATATATTTATGATTAGGGCTATAGGAAAATAGTATAATGATAATGACACCCACTTCTGTGAAAGGACATAGAACGGGCTGGAGATGAAGGATCAGAGGATTCCCATGTGAACATTATTACATTGACTCTTCCATGTTTCTCGCTCCATCGTTCCTCTAAGCAATTTCCTTCTTTTCTTTTTTCTTTTTCTAGCACATTATATTTTACACACGTTACTTATCTTAAATTAATATTTTTACTGTAATACACAGGCGACGCCCTTTTTGCTCTGATAACCATATATTTTAATTTTTTCGATTTCACAGTTTAACTTTTCTGTTGAGTTTTGTAAATTTTCTGTATATCCAAACTCACTGTAAATGCAGACTATCCAATGACTTTGAATATGCCGACGACTCGACGAGGTCAATCAAGTCTTCTTCGTCAAAGCACCTCATCCCGGAAAGAGAAAGCCGCTGCAGGTTCTTGGTTTGTTCTCTGACCAGAAGACCCACTTCTCTCATCGTCTGTCTAGATACACTGTTCTTCTCTGATGGGAGTGATGGCGGTGCTGTAATGGTGATGTGTGTGAGCTCCTGTCTTCCAGACCGACGAAGACCAGCCGTGATCTGAGGTATGTCCCTCTCTGCATCATCGATAGTGATGTCGATATCTCTCAAGCCAGGAAGCGATGAGAACAGACCTTCATAGATATGTGTTGCCACTCTCTCGGCTGATAGCTTTTTGACGGATGGAAGCTCAGGAGGAGATGGAGGGAAACTGAGAGAGGAGTCTGAGATGCTGAGCTGATTCAGTGGGGTGAAGGGTCTGAGGCAGGACCACAACTTGTCGGTCATCTCAGTAGATAGCTGGCACTGTTGTATCTCAAGCCTAGCATTCTGCAATGAATAGCACACATAATTGTTTAGGATAAAAGAGGGGAAGATAAAAATCCATATCAGTGAAGTTGAAAATACAAGCTTAACCCTTACTGTACTGTATGTTGAGTATCTCTTTGACTGGGGGGGGGGGCGGGAGAATGTCCGATGAACAAGGAAATTTGCACATTTGTAGATATTCACGTAAGAAACAAGATGGTATAATTAGTTTTTTCCTAATATGCAATTTTATGCAAAATTCTAATTTTGTGCATTTCAGAGAAAACTCTACATATTTGTCTCTAGACTTGTGAAGAATCTTGAAAATGTATTGAATAAATGTTTCCTTCATTTCAAATTCATGAAGTTTCATTATTTTTCTGATATTTGAAATGCATACAGTAAGTTAATTTTCATTAATTATGAATACGCAAATTACGTGATTTTGTTTTTGGTTTTTTGGAAGTATGTTTAGCACTGTGGGGGAAGCCAAAAGCAATAATTTGACCCACTTTCTCATTTTGGAATAATATTTATCCACTACCATCTGCACATCACTACCCATATCCGAAGACAAAAAATTCAAAATTCATCATTTTTATTTCTTATGTACTTTATTATTTAGCTTCCTTATTATATATATTGTTTTATTTTTAATGTATTCTTTTGTTCAGGAATACATCAAATTACTTTGAGAAAACATATCAAAGTAATTTGATACTATTCATATCTCCCACTTATGAAGAAATACCTCTAGACCTGTATTCACACTCATTTCTCCTTGTACATGAATTATGTATGCAATTATAGCACTTTTTGATGACATGTGCATACTAATTGTTATGTAACACCTTACAGGTATATCCGATTTCAACGAAAATGATGTCAAAATGTGCATTAGACTCGAGATAAAAAGTCATAAAACAACAAATTAAAATTCCAAGCGGTTGCAGCACAATCTCCGAAAATGTGGAGGGGGGGCCTCCCAGCCTCCCCCCCCCCCCCCAGTACAGTAAGGGTTAAATTGCACAACTGAAATTCATAATCCGCTAAATGATTTAATACTTTAATATAAAGAAACTATAAATGCAATCGTGTCACAACGATGTGCGTGCAATGACGCCATGTTTCTACGTGTCAAACGAAAGAGCTTCTCCCGGACTATCCAGAGCAATTTGTACGAAGTCGGTAGCTTCTGTGATATTGGAAATAGGTAGGGCGAAAGAAAGGCCTCAACAGTGACCTTGATGGAATGGTAGTGACTATGCCTACGAAGTTTGAAAAAAATTGGGATAGGGGAAAGAACCTAGAAAGGGCTCGCAAGCACTGCTTGCAAAAACCAATGGGATTTGGTGCATGTTCGTCATTGCAATAAAGATCGTTCTGGGGGCCAAAAGCGTGAACCCGATATGCCCCATAGACAATGCGTGTAATGCATGGGCGGAAAGCGTACAGGATCTGTATTATGACCGGAGTTAAATTGTTTTTTTCTCTCTCTCTTTCTGTCTCTTTATGGGCCGTATTTGGTATCATTAGAAAGATAATTTCATGGTTGGTATTGTGAACCACTCTTTTTTTTTCTTTGATAATCCTATCGAAACACGTGATGTAAAATAGATTTATAGGACAAAATGGCGTCTTAAATGGCCCCCTTGACCAATTTCAAAAATCAGGCCAAGAGGTGCCCTGCGTATTGGAACTCGGCATGTCACTGCCAATTTTCAAGGAAAAAAAAGGACGTTTAGGGGGCGAAAAGCAGTCTGAAAAAATGACGCCATAGCCGATATGTGTTATAATATTGGGCGGAAACTCGGCGGAATTCGTATAATGTCCGTTGTTCAAATGTGAGTTACTCAAAATTTTCTGTTTGAACATATACCATACTTGGTATCATTCGAAAGGGCACTTCATTGCGGTTAGTTTGAAACCATTGTCATCTGCGCGCAATGTACTGCACGCATTAAAGGTGCTATTACGTAATGCATAGCAAATTCATCAATTTTGGCGATAACTTTGCGCTGACGTTATTAAAATTTACCAAACTTGGCAGACAGTTGTCACGTATACGGATACATGTGTCTGCCAAGTTTCATTGACGTAGGTATAACGATCGCCATTGTAGAGCAAGCTGAAGTTATTTCTCAATTTTCTTGAAAACTGCATATTTTAAGGGCATTTTTCGCAAAGTCAGTCAGTGTTAGGGTAAATAATTTTGTATATGGCTGGAAAGGGCATATGTTCAAGTATCTAAAACCAAAAAAGGGTACGGGTCTGCCAAGCCATAATGGAGATACGGCCAAAGAAAGAAAGCCAATTCCCAGAACTTTAGAGGGCGCTATTTATGTTTTGCATAGCCATTGGAGCGTAAAATTTGGCATGGCTATGTGCAATTATAAAATAAAGATACTGCGAGAAGATGAGATGGAACGGAATTAGTTAAAGAAAGTTATTGCAATTTTTAGATTTTTAGGGGTCCAGAGGTGCCCTGCGTATTGGAACTCGGCATGTCACTGCCAATTTTCAAGGAAAAAAAAGGACGTTTAGGGGGCGAAAAGCAGTCTGAAAAAATGACGCCATAGCCGATATGTGTTATAATATTGGGCGGAAACTCGGCGGAATTCGTATAATGTCCGTTGTTCAAATGTGAGTTACTCAAAATTTTCTGTTTGAACATATACCATACTTGGTATCATTCGAAAGGGCACTTCATTGCGGTTAGTTTGAAACCATTGTCATCTGCGTGCAATGTACTGCACGCATTAAAGGTGCTATTACGTAATGCATAGCAAATTCATCAATTTTGGCGATAACTTTGCGCTGACGTTATTAAAATTTACCAAACTTGGCAGACAGTTGTCACGTATACGGATACATGTGTCTGCCAAGTTTCATTGACGTAGGTATAACGATCGCCATTGTAGAGCAAGCTGAAGTTATTTCTCAATTTTCTTGAAAACTGCATATTTTAAGGGCATTTTTCGCAAAGTCAGTCAGTGTTAGGGTAAATAATTTTGTATATGGCTGGAAAGGGCATATGTTCAAGTATCTAAAACCAAAAAAGGGTACGGGTCTGCCAAGCCATAATGGAGATACGGCCAAAGAAAGAAAGCCAATTCCCAGAACTTTAGAGGGCGCTATTTATGTTTTGCATAGCCATTGGAGCGTAAAATTTGGCATGGCTATGTGCAATTATAAAATAAAGATACTGCGAGAAGATGAGATGGAACGGAATTAGTTAAAGAAAGTTATTGCAATTTTTAGATTTTTAGGGGTCCATTTTTCAAGAATTTGAGAGATTGTTGACGGAGTCGGTTTAAGATTTGAATTTTGAGTACGAAGATGGCATTTTGAAGGTCAAGTCATCCGTCGCAGATGAAAGAACATCTCTCAGACTATCTAGAGGAATTTGTTAGAAGTTTGTAGGATCTAGGATAGTGGAGATAGGAAGGAAGAAAAAAAGGCCTTAAAATGGACCAGAAACGGACCAAATGGCGCCTGGACGGTTATGCATGAGTGATTTCGAAAATCGAAGAATGTAGTGACCTTGATGAGATGTTAGAGATTATGCCTATGAAATTTGAAAGGAAAAGGACACGAGCAAAGCACCTTACTAGGAATAACAAGCACTACGTGCAAAACGAATGCGATTTTTGGACGATAAGGAAAAGGAGGAAAAGGAGAATATTAATGGGGCAGAATGTGAACGAAAACAAGGCAATGAAGAAGGTCGTCATTGCAACAATGCTTCTTTGCTACAATTTCCTCAGTTCACGGCAGAGGGATGCCCCTATATCGAATATTTGAAAGCGAAATGCATGCACCTATATTACAAAACCTACTCACCCTGACGGCATACTTGTTGTTTAGAGAAACACCTCCACTCCTACATAATTTTGAAAAACGAAATGAGGGTAAGAATGTGATTCAATAAATTCTTGGGAAATGATATGACATCAATAAAGAAAATAAGTGAACTGTTATGTCCCTTCTGAACAGGGGTAATGATCATGATTATGAATAACAACAATAACAATACTGATAATAATAATAATAATGATACCAATAATAATAAGAACATCAATAGTAATTTATTGTAATAATTATTTTGTCTTCACAAGCGACATACAAGGACAAAGTCTGTATTAAGATCTAGATCTACATACCCCAAATTCAAGGACGTTAGTTGCTTAGTCTTGACAAACAGGTCAACCAAGGCTTCCTCGTTTCCGCCCTTTGCTCTTGACACATGCAGCCGCTGTTGGTTTTTGGTTTGGTTTTCAAATAGAAGACTAAGCCCTGTAATTGACTTTGCTGAATCAATCTTTCTGTCTGTGGTGAGTGCTGGCCAGGCGTGTAGTCTGATATGAACAAAGAACTGTTCATCCCTAGCCCTGGTCTGACCCATAGGCACTGATGCTGTGGTGATCTCAAAAGTGTTGCTCGTCTCTAGCTCTGCAACATCGATAGAGACCTCGATCTCTCTCACACCAGGCACCGATGAGAGCACTCGTTCGTAACTCTGTGATGTCAATCTCTCGGCTGATAGCTTTTTGATGGTTGGAAGCTCAGGAGGAGACGGTGAGAAACTTAGAGAGGAGTCTGAGATGCTGAGCTGATTCAGTGGGGTGAAGGATCTGAGGCAGGACCACAACTTGTCGGTCATCTCAGTAGATAGCTGGCACTGCTGTATCTCAAGCCTAGTATTCTGCAATGAAATGCACACATAAATATTGAGGCTGAATGTGGGAAGATATAATTCCACATTGGTAGAGTTAAAAACACGATGATTATATTCACCACCTGAATTCACAATCCGGTAACTGATTGGATTCGTTTATAAAAAGAAACAATGCTACTTTGTTGTAATTTCCTTAGTTTAAGGCAGAGGATATCCCCTTCTTGAATATTCATAAGCGAAGTGATTGCACCCGTATTACAAAATTCTACTCACCTGGACGGCGTCTCCGTCGATTACAGAACCACCTCCACTCCTACATATAATGTTAACAAAAGTAATGAGGGAAAAATATGAATTAATAAATTCTTGGGAAAGTAATTTACATTAATAAAGAATATAAGTGAACTGTACATGTATCCCCTCTTCACAGAGGTAATCATTATGAAAACAACAATAATGATAATGATTATCTCATAAAAGTGATGATATTAATGAAAATAAGAACATCAATAGCAATGCATTTTATATATAGTTTGTGTTCATGTCGTCTTAAAAGACGACATGAACACCAATATCTGTACATGAATTAAGATCAAGATCTAGATCTACATGTACACTGTACGTACCCCAAATTCGAGGGTGTTAGTTGTTTAGTCTTGACAAACAGGTCGACCAAGGTTTCTTCGTCTCTGCCCTTCACCCCGTACACATGCAGCCGCTGTTGGTTCCTGGTTTGGTCTCCAAATAGAAGATTAAGCCTTGCAATTGACTCTCCTGAATCAATCTTCCTGTCTGTGGTGAGTGCTGGCCAGGCGTGTAGTCTGATATGAACAAAGAACTGTTCATCCCTAGCCCTGGTCTGACCCATAGGCCTGGAGGCGGTGGTGATCTCAAAAGTGTTGCTCGTCTCTAGCTCTGCAACATCGATAGAGACCTCGATCTCTCTCACACCAGGTACCGATGAGAGCACTCGTTCGTAACTCTGTGATGTCAATCTCTCGGCTGATAGCTTTTTGATGGTTGGAAGCTTAGGGGGAGATGGAGGGAAACTGAGAGAGGAGTCTGAGATGCTGAGCTGATTCAGTGGGGTGAAGGATCTGAGGCAGGACCACAACTTGTCGGTCATCTCAGTAGATAGCTGGCACTGCTGTATCTCAAGCCTAGTATTCTGCAATGAAATGCACACATAAATATTGAGGCTGAATGTGGGAAGATATAATTCCACATTGGTAGAGTTAAAAACACAATGATTATATTCACCACCTGAATTCACAATCCGGTAACTGATTGGATTCGTTTATAAAAAGAAACAATGCTACTTTGTTGTAATTTCCTTAGTTTAAGGCAGAGGATATCCCCTTCTTGAATATTCATAAGCGAAGTGATTGCACCCGTATTACAAAATTCTACTCACCTGGACGGCGTCTCCGTCGATTACAGAACCACCTCCACTCCTACATATAATGTTAACAAAAGTAATGAGGGAAAAATATGAATTAATAAATTCTTGGGAAAGTAATTTACATTAATAAAGAATATAAGTGAACTGTACATGTATCCCCTCTTCACAGAGGTAATCATTATGAAAACAACAATAATGATAATGATTATCTCATAAAAGTGATGATATTAATGAAAATAAGAACATCAATAGCAATGCATTTTATATATAGTTTGTGTTCATGTCGTCTTAAAAGACGACATGAACACCAATATCTGTACATGAATTAAGATCAAGATCTAGATCTACATGTACACTGTACGTACCCCAAATTCGAGGGTGTTAGTTGTTTAGTCTTGACAAACAGGTCGACCAAGGTTTCTTCGTCTCTGCCCTTCACCCCGTACACATGCAGCCGCTGTTGGTTCCTGGTTTGGTCTCCAAATAGAAGATTAAGCCTTGCAATTGACTCTCCTGAATCAATCTTCCTGTCTGTGGTGAGTGCTGGCCAGGCGTGTAGTCTGATATGAACAAAGAACTGTTCATCCCTAGCCCTGGTCTGACCCATAGGCCTGGAGGCGGTGGTGATCTCAAAAGTGTTGCTCGTCTCTAGCTCTGCAACATCGATAGAGACCTCGATCTCTCTCACACCAGGTACCGATGAGAGCACTCGTTCGTAACTCTGTGATGTCAATCTCTCGGCTGATAGCTTTTTGATGGTTGGAAGCTTAGGGGGAGATGGAGGGAAACTGAGAGAGGAGTCTGAGATGCTGAGCTGATTCAGTGGGGTGAAGGATCTGAGGCAGGACCACAACTTGTCGGTCATCTCAGTAGATAGCTGGCACTGCTGTATCTCAAGCCTAGTATTCTGCAATGAAATGCACACATAAATATTGAGGCTGAATGTGGGAAGATATAATTCCACATTGGTAGAGTTAAAAACACAATGATTATATTCACCACCTGAATTCACAATCCGGTAACTGATTGGATTCGTTTATAAAAAGAAACAATGCTACTTTGTTGTAATTTCCTTAGTTTAAGGCAGAGGATATCCCCTTCTTGAATATTCATAAGCGAAGTGAATGCACCCGTATTACAAAATTCTACTCACCTGGACGGCGTCTCCGTCGATTACAGAACCACCTCCACTCCTACATATAATGTTAACAAAAGTAATGAGGGAAAAATATGAATTAATAAATTCTTGGGAAAGTAATTTACATTAATAAAGAATATAAGTGAACTGTACATGTATCCCCTCTTCACAGAGGTAATCATTATGAAAACAACAATAATGATAATGATTATCTCATAAAAGTGATGATATTAATGAAAATAAGAACATCAATAGCAATGCATTTTTATATATAGTTTGTGTTCATGTCGTCTTAAAAGACGACATGAACACCAATATCTGTACATGAATTAAGATCAAGATCTAGATCTACATGTACACTGTACGTACCCCAAATTCGAGGGTGTTAGTTGTTTAGTCTCGACAAACAGGTCGACCAAGGTTTCTTCGTCTCTGCCCTTCACCCCGTACACATGCAGCCGCTGTTGGTTCCTGGTTTGGTCTCCAAATAGAAGATTAAGCCTTGCAATTGACTCTCCTGAATCAATCTTCCTGTCTGTGGTGAGTGCTGGCCAGGCGTGTAGTCTGATATGAACAAATAACTGTTCATCCCTAGCCCTGGTCTGACCCATAGGCCTGGAGGCGGTGGTGATCTGAAAAGTGTTGCTCATCTCTAGCTCTGCAACATCAATAGAGACATCGATCTCTCTCACACCAGGTATCAATGGGAGCATACCTTTGTAGCAGAATGAAGTCATTCTCTCGGCTGATAGATTTGTGAAGGATGGAAGCTCAGGAGGAGATGGGGGAAAACTGATAGAAGAGTCTGAGATGGTGAGGGTATGTAGCATCGAAAATGATCCAAGACAAGACCATAGTCCATTCGTCACATCGTTATTTAGAGTAGATCCTTCGAAATGCACTGTCCTGACCTGTTGTTTAGAGAGAGAGGATTACAGACGGATTAATTAGACGAAGAATATAACATTAAATATTAAACTTGTTTTGTGTGTTAAATATTTAATCAATCCAGACTTTGGCATGATCTTATCCGAGAATATTCGGTAAGTAATGGAAGCTCCCTCGATCCCAACTCCTTTACATTCATAATAATTTATTTATTTATATTCTTCCATGTTAAATGTAAAGATCATTTGTTTTAAATACGCTACATGCTTTTATTGACTGAATCTCGTCCTTTTATTATGCGCTATATAACAAACCACCATTATTATTATTATTATAATGTTCGTATCATTTTGCTTCATTCTTGAATGAAGTACCTTGATTGAGTCCACAGTTTGGGTGAACATGGAATAATAATGATAATGAGTCATACATGTACATCTTGATCATTATATCATGCAGTATGATGTATCAAGATGCCGTTAATTATAAGTAATTAATGAATAACTAGATGGATCTTCAACTGCGCACAGTTAAAAGCAATTTTACAAACCAAAATGGAAGCAATTTTTAAAATTCAAGTTTGATTGTAATCCATCTGTCGGTTCTAATGATAATGCGTTCACAAGCTATTTATAGGCAAACATAATGAGCCCCATGAACTTTGACCTCACAACCTAAAATCTAATCAGTTCATTGGCTCTGCAAGATACTATACATGTCTTGAGTTTGATGGTAATCTGTCTATCGGTTCTCATGATAATCACAAGCTTTTTTTTAATACATAATGAGCCCCGAGACTTTTGAAAGGGATCGGGTAACTTTGTCTCAGATTCTGAAACAAAATCCTGGATTTATCTCATGCTGCAATGATAATTATAAACCTTTAGGTCAGTCAGGAACCACATGACTTTTACAAGCCAATCGCCTGTCTGCCATTATCATATTGGAAATCAAAACCAAATTTTGCGTTTTCCTAATGGTTTTCATAACACTACATTCTATTGGGGAAAACGAGTATGGTAAAACCGGTCACTCAAAGATTTTTACTTCTTTGAGGCCCTGATCTTGATCATTTTGAAGCGCGATTTTTTAGGGCTTCAATATTAGAACATATCACATACACTGATAACACGTAGAGCCGTGCATCTCAGATTTAATATTGTTAAACGATGCGCCTTTAAATCTAATCAGTTCATGGGCTCTGCAAGATACAAACATGACCAGAGTTTGGCGGTAATCCATAAATCGGTTCTAGAGATTACGTGATCATGAGCTATTTTTGCATACATAATGAGCCCTATGACCTTTGAACTTTGACCTCATGACCCCCAAATCTAATCAGTTCATTAGCTCTGCAAAATACATACATCTACATGACCAAAGTTTGGCGGTAATCCTTCAACTGTTCTTGAGATAACGCGATCACGATAACAGGACGTACAGACACGTTACAACGGCCGGACAACTACTACTTTGTAGCGGAGGCATAAAAACTGAAAACTAAATTATTATTCTAAGCATATTTTGTGAAATGAAAATGTACATACCTCACGTTTCAGTTGTGTTGGAAGATTTTTCATCCCAACGACGGTGTAGACAGTTGGTGACTTTAGAATCATACTCCGTGCTGTGACACATCTTTGTACCAACGAAGACACATTTCCTTCAGCACCCGTGGTCTCTGATGAGCAGTCAAGGAGAATGCGATATCGCTCGCTCTCATCCAAAAAGCTGTTTGATAGGAGCGCCTCCATTATTCGTATACAGAGGCTGTTGTCCGTGCCAGCAGCGAATCGGATAAGATTCTCGTAGTCACCGATGTTTGCTTTGATCTTGCGCAGTACTCTGTCCAATTCAGAAATCTTCCAACGTAACAGAAAGTGGTGTGTTTGATCAGCGAGGAATTTCCCAGCCGAGTGTTCTTGGGCGAGTTTGTGATAAAACTCAATGGTAGTGGAAGTGGTTTCGTTGGACTGAGGAAGGCATGTGATGTTAACAGTCGTACTCTTGGATACTATCCCAAGCTCACATGCCCTATCAAGGGTTGCGGGATCTTTACGGAAATCATGAGGTGTGAAGACTAGTTTTTTAGCATCGTCGAGCAGGCCAGTAAGGGCAGCTTTGCCTAATTGAGAAATGATTTTCCTCAACTTTTTTGGTGTGATTTTCACTCTTGACTCTGATCGTGCGTTTGCATGGTGCATTAAAAAAACATTCACCCTGTCAAGCAATTCTGTTTGAGTTGTAATACCACTGGTCAGTAGGCTCTCACTCCATAAGTGACAGATCATGAGACAAAATAGGGGTGTCTTGACAAGTTCATCAATAAGTGGTTCTTCATCAAGATAATCCTTCAAACTTTGTCCATTACAAGGATTCAAAGTCGAAACAAAGAACTTGTCGATGTACTTGCACGAGCTCTCTCGCGAGAATCCTTCGATCCACATCTTTGTGTATACCCTTGGAAGATCATTTTGATTGAAGAAGTTCTCTAGGTGAGGGCGTGTTGTTACAAGGACTCGGCATTCTTTGAATTCCTCCCAACGGATGACACTGACAATATTGCTCAATGAGATGCGCTGTGAAGAGGAAATACCAGAATACTCGTCTAGTCCGTCTAGAATGATGTGACAGATGCCCTGATTCTCCTTAATGAATCTCTCCAGACCCTCTGGTGTGAGATCATCAACATCACTCAAAAGCTGGGATTTGATGGCTTCTCCAATCGTTGTATGCGAATTTGTGTTTCGGAATTTCACAACAAACAGAAGTGGCAGGTGTTCTAATGCTGACCCCCTTTCTCTGTGAACCCAATCGTAAGCCATCTTAGCAACAGCCGTGGTCTTCCCTCGTCCAGCGGGGGCCGAAATGAGGATTCGAACTGGTAGTTCGCCGTCTACTTTCGTTGAAAATATTTCAGAAACAGAACCCTTGAGTATTTCCTTCGTTTTTGTGTCTTTTCCACGACCGTCCTTCTTCACCATTGTGACAACCGTGTGCATATCTTTGAACTCAGCATAATCATTTTGATTCCACGGTGTCATTTGAATTTTGCACAATTGATTTCGGTAATGATTCTCCAACATTTCGCGACATCGCTGAACAGTCAAAGATTCCGAGATCTTCTTACTGTAGATCTTATCTGGAATGATACAATCATATATCACACTAAATGTCTTATTACACTACCACGATCTTATTACACTCCCACGATCTACCATACCCTTTGCAAGGTTTTGGGGTTAATCTTTTTTAAATTCTCGTTGAAATACATGATGATTCTGACGATTTGCCTCTTTCCCATCAAGCAAAGGCCTAGAAAGGCACTTAATATCTTTTATTAGACTGCATAGATCAGTCAGGAAAAACTTTCTCCAAATAGATATTGAAATTCATGGGTTTATTTTCTCTTTTTTTTAAAGATGTTTTTCAAACAAAAATTATAGGGACAGAGATGCACAGGCTGAAGGAAAATGAAATACAACGTTCTTCAAACGATTTACGGGTGAAGGAAGTGACTTTAAGCACATTAGCACTGATAGACCTACCTGGAATACTTGATGTCCCCTTGAGATGTGTATCAGCAAGCATGACTAGCTTAGCGTCAATGAGAGCTTGTTCCAGTCTGAGATGCTGGTCGCAAGGCTTTACGGTCTGTCTCCAGTCAAACAGCATGTCACGTGTTCCCTTGCAAGTTACCCGGTCACCTTTGTTATTCGTGTCAGTGTATCTATTGATAGCTGCAGCTTTAAATCCAAGAGCTCGTCCTAAGGCCTCCATCTGCTCACCCGTCTCGATGTCTTCAGCCAGCTGGAAGAGAAGATTACTGGCAATACCTTCATGTGCTGCCATACCTATGGGGAAAATAAACAAAAGTAAAATAAGATTAAACAACTTTAATTATGAACTATAGCCTCTTATAGTGGGACAGTAAATCAATTCAGTATTTCAGCAGGTCTGCAGTCATCATGGTAATGTAGCAATTTTTCCAGGGGGTGCGGGTGGGGGCTTTGAAATGTTTGTTGTGTTTAAGCAGAGAAGTAGGATCTTGACGATCGAAATGTAGTGAAACATCTAAAACATTATTAACAAAGATTTTTTTTTTTTTAAGAATAGAAGAAAACCAGAGAAAACAAAACATTTCAAGAATTTGAAAAACAGTCCAGGCATGCAATGACCTATAATCCTAATTGTTGCCTTAATTTCACGTAATGATGATTTCATGTTCCTTGATGCATTGCCAGAGGCAGGGCTCCCGGGGGAGGGGGCATATACAGCCCCCTACTTTTTCAAGTACCTAAAAAATGACCGATCATAATTGTGATAAGTGCCCCTTTTACTTTGACAAGTGGCCCTTTCCCCCACTTCTTAATATTGTCCCTATTCACCTTGATGAATGCCCCTTTTCAAATCTATTAAGTGTTCCTTTTTTATATATATGATACCTGTAAGTTCTCCTTGCTACTTTTGATAATATAGCCCCTTTTCCCTTCTAATATTGTCCCTCCCTGATAAGTGCCCCCATGTTTATATCCCAATTGTCGCTTCAAAATGTGCTGTTTTACAGATGTTTAAAGAGCCACGCCTAGCTTCAAGGAATCGGAGCAGCTTTGTGTAGTAACAAGTACCCTACCTGTCAGCCGAGGCAGGCCAGGGCCCGATACCCAAAATATCATATGAATGGCAAATGCAAATGGCAAAATTCAATTGACCTCTGACCCTCCGAACGGTGTAGACGTGAAATTTTTTCGCGGAGCCTTCGCTGTTTTTAATCACCGGAATCTTCGGTTATTTTTCACCATCCGCACCCATCCTCGATATATATGAATCTGCAATAGTGTTTCTTCGATGTTTTATGCTTTTTACGACAATTTGTGATTTTTAACATTGGATATTTTTAGCTAAAACTTTCGCACCCGTGTACAGTATGTATATTCTACGTAGTTGACTGGGCACAGTGCATCACACCGGCAAGCGACGCGACGGATCGAGAGCCCATCTTTCTCCAACGCTATACTTACGGCAGAGGTCTTGCATCGGCTTCGCTAGAAGCTCGACAGCCCATCAGCAAATTGTGTTGTTATTTTCGTACTTTTCGATGTATTTTTAACAGTTTTATAATAAAATAAAAAATTGGCCGCTTGGCCTGGCCGCCATTTTTTACAACCATGCATTCTCTACGTACGCTTACTACCTTAGCCGTCTTCTTGCTTTCTATGTGGATTGAACAGGAATATCATCAATTTGATGACAACAAGGAATTGATTCTGCGCAACAGTAAGGTAGGATCCAACCATTTATTTTCTGGATCAAATTCAATCTTTCCTGGCAACGCTAGCAATGTCGTCAGTAATGTTGTGAATTCATTCAGTAAACAATTTGACAATGCTATCTTGCTGTATTCTTCATGCAAGCTCAGAAAACAACAGCTTGCCAACAGAGGCATATATTCCTCCATGTTGATCAATTTTCAAGCTGGAAAAAACTCAACTACTGCTGCCAATTTACTTTCACTTTTGGGACTTTGTGGTGACGTGCACCCCCACCCAGGGCCTTCGATAAGGAAGTCTAGAACTAGATCTAGAAATTCTGCAAACAAAATAAAATTTCCCTGCACCCAGTGCGATGAAGAGGTTCGTGACAACCAACATGCGCTAAGCTGCGACGGTTGTGGTAGGTGGACCCACACCATATGTAGCGACATCAGTAACGAGGAGTATACTAAACTCACTGAAATAGGTGACTTTGCATGGCTATGCCCTGCCTGCGTCACTGTGAACTCTAACATAGACGACTCATCTTCCAATACTTCGGATAATACTGAAGTTGACGACAGCGAAACACTTAAAACAATTTCTTCTAAAAGGAAACCAACACAGAGTAGACCACTGACATGTGACAACGACACCAGGCCCCAACATCAACGTGACAAAAACCAGAAAAGATCTGGCCTGAAGATACTTAACATCAACTTCCAAAGCATCAAAAGCAAAGTTGAAGAATTTCAAGTTCTACTGGAAGCTGAACAACCCGATATTTTGATATGTACTGAGACGTGGCTAAACGCAGATATAAAGAACTGTGAAATTTTTCCTGATCACTACCAAGTCTTCCGTAAAGATCGCGCTGATGGTTATGGCGGAGTTATGATCGCAGTCAAAAACATGACTGCTCAGATCTTAGACGAACTCTCAGTTAACGCCGAATTATTATGGATCAAACTTGACCTAGGAAAAAACGTGGTTAGATACGTCGGTGCATACTATAATCCAAACTCCTCCACAGAATCACTTGATGAGCTTGACAGGTCGATCTCCAAACTTCACTCCAACTACGGCAGTAACTGTTCTGTTTGGTTAGGAGGTGATTTCAACATGAAAGATATTGACTGGAAGAACACCACAGTCACACCTGGTAGCAATATTTCTACCCAGTGTCATCTTCTTTTGGACATCAGCACCAAATTTCACCTTACTCAGACGGTCAAAATCCCCACACGTCGCGACAAGACCTTGGACTTATTCTTTACTACCAACCCCACTCTTGTGACTCATGTGAGAACTCTACCAAAGTTGGGTGATCATGAAGTAGTTGAAATCTTATGTGATGTAAAACCACGTAGAAAGCTCCCACCGAAGCGAAAGATCTTCCAGTACACAAAAGGAGATTTTATATCTGTGCGTGAAAGCTTAGTTTCCTTTGGGAAAACCACGATTGATAACTTAAACCAAAAATCTGTTCAAGAAAATTGGATTAACCTCACTGAGCACATTACGACTTTGATGAACAAGCATATCCCTACAAAGATGACTTCAAGCAGACATAACTTACCCTGGTTCAATGGCAGGATTAGACGAATGAGACGCAAACTTCAGAAACTGTATAACAAACAAAAAAGGATCCAACTTGAAAGCGACGAACTAGCCTTCAAAGCCCACAGAACTAACTACAAAAAAGAGCTTCGACATGCTCAAGGCGACTATATTAAAAACACTATGTCCGGAAACTTGCACCAAAACACCAAACAATTTTGGAAAATTGTCAAATCAAAACGTATTGACAACGGAGGTGTCCCTCCATTGTCTACCAACGACGGGAATACAACTGACGACAGCCAAGAAAAAGCAGAAATTTTGAATAGCTACTTCAAATCAGTCTATACACAAGAGGACCTTGAAAATATCCCTGATATGTCTGGAGATCCCCATCCGGAAATGCCTTCCATCACAATCACACCAGAAGGTGTGAAAAAGCTTCTGTCTGACTTAAAACCCAATAAAGCATCTGGACCTGATCAATTGCCAGCTAGATTCCTCAAAGAGTGTGCCAAGGAGCTGGCTCCCATTTTATCAGCAATCTTTAACCAAAGCCTTGACTCAGGTGATCTACCGTCTGACTGGCTTATGTCCCACATCACACCTATCTTCAAAAAGGGCAACAAAAACTCACCCGGCAACTATAGACCGATCGCACTAACCTCAATCTGCTGTAAGATCTTTGAACATATCCTTACTAGCAATATCATGTCTCATCTAGATCGACTTGATATTCTTGTGGACTCTCAACACGGCTTTCGTAAAAGAAGGGGGTGTGATACTCAACTAGTATCTACAATCGCAAAACACTTTGATATAAATAAGCAAGTCGATGCTGTTCTATTGGACTTCTCAAAAGCTTTTGATCGCGTTCCGCATACACGACTACTCAAGAAACTCCACCACTACCGGATAAGAGGAAAAGAACTTGGCTGGATTAAAACCTTTCTAACACAAAGAAAACAACGAGTAACACTTGATGGGAAACTGTCTTCAGCCGCAGAGGTTACATCAAGTGTCCCCCAGGGTACTGTCATCGGCCCTCTGTGCTTCTTAATCTACATTAACAACATGCCTGACTGTATCTCCAAAGGTACCAAGATACGTTTATTCGCTGACGATGCATTAATCTACCGGGAAATAAATTCAGAAATGGACCCCCAAACTCTTCAAAAGGATCTCGACGCCCTCTCCAAATGGGGCTCCGACTGGCAGATGGCATTTAACACGGACAAATGCTTTACCATGCATTTCACATCGAAGAAATCTCCAAACATTACCCCCTATAAACTATGTAACAACACTCTACAGGTGACTTCTAGCCACCCCTACTTGGGCATCACCTTCAGCAGCGATCTAAAATGGAACTCTCACATTAACAACATCACCAAGAGCTCTAAGAAGGTACTGGGAGTCATCCGACGCAACTTCAAAGCATGTACTGTTGACGTCAAATCACGACTTTATCTTTCACTTGCACAACCCAAACTAGAGTACGGCACGACTGCATGGTACCCTAGCACACAAAAAGAAAAACATCAGCTTGACATGGTCCAAAGAGCTGCTGCAAGAATGTGCCTCACCGACTACTCAAGAGAATCCAGCGTGACAGCCATGATAACCTCTCTCCAGTGGACTGACCTCGAGACCAGACGAAAGATTGCCCGACTCAATGATGTACAAAATCAACGCAAACCTCGTAGACGTTGACTGGAACCCCTACTTAACCAGACCATCTCGCCAACTTAGACGCACACACCCATCATCCTTCCAGAGACTTAGAACCAACTCAACAATTTACTCAAATAGCTTCTTCCCATGGACTGTTAAATATTCGAACGACCTGCTTCATGACATCCTAGACGCCCCAAACATAGACATTTTTAAGAAAAGGCTCTGCGATTTTTTCACAAACACCAATCGGAAATAATTCCAACAGGTCAACCCCCAGGTCAACCCTCTGACACGATGCGGGATCCCGCTTTGTCGGAGTATAATCTAGAACCAGAACCAGAGAACCAGAAATGAATATTTAAACC